AATCTTCCATGACGATTAATGGAACACTACAAAACCAGGCAAATGAGTCCCAAGGGTAAAAATACCCCACACATCCATAAAAAGTACTTGAATCATTTTATATTGTATTTATTGTTTTTGTAAAAAAAATCCATATTTTTTTTTTTACTATTTGAATCAAGGTTTTGCAAAGGAAATGCAAATTGACCACTTTTCCAAAAATAAATTTTAACAATAAAATAACAACAATTATTATTATTATTATTATTATTATTATTATTATTATTTGTAATATTATTAGGGTTTTACACCCAACTACTATGTTTCATCACAACAAATTAACTATCAAGACAGACAGTTAGTTATTGCTGTTAACATGTTTTTCTACCAGTGTCTGAGCTGACATAGACTTTTCATAAAACAACAGATCAATAATCTAGGCAACTGGCTTTCTTTGATGGGTTTTACTTTCATACTGATTCATAATTTCAGCTTCTTGGGATTTTAAACTAATAAAACATAAAATAGCCTTCATTTCATCACAGTATTATTAAAAACAAAATAACGAAAATCGCTCATGTGAATCAAGAATAGAAAACATTTTTATACCTCCATGCTTTTGTATTCTTCTTTTTTTTTCTCAACAGAGTAAAATGTACTGGTGACAGTGTTATAAGCTCATGGCAAGTCAGCGAATCAGCAAGTAAGCCGACTGGAGACAAGATTACTACTCTCAAATGACAACACAGCAATACAAATTAAATGTTATTGGTCGGCAAAAAACCAGGGCTTATGGTACCAGCAATACAATCATCATGTACACACTGTAATACTGTACAGTATGCTCTTATATTTTTCAATATTAAAAAAAAGAGCATATTCCATATGAATGTAGGTGATTTAAATTGTTTTTGTTCTTAAATTGCTTTTGTACCTTTAATTTGATCAATAATAAAATAACCAAAAATTTAATAGAGATTTTAAATACTTATCCAGAAATCCTACCATTTGCAGATTTAAGATTTTTTTTTAAATATTAATTTTTCATTTTTGTCCAATTGCTAATATTTGAAATTGAAAATTTGTAGACCAATCGTTTACTGTGTGTAGGTTTTATGCAAACAAATTTTCTCTCAACGCTTTTTGTGTAATAAACTTACAGAGCAATACAAATTAAATGCTACTGTTTGGCAGAAGAAACCAGGGTTTGCGGTACCAGCAATATAAAATCAACACACGAACATAATGTAATACGCTCTTTTATAAATTAAAGAAAGTAAATAAAATATATAAAGAAAAAAGTTTCATTAATTTGAAATAACAAAAAATTTAACAGAGATTTTAAAGGTTTGCAATTCAATTGCCTGTGTTAATAATGTTTTATGTATTACTAACAAACACATTTCCTTTTGTTGGTGCATTTTGTGTAGAAAACTTACACTATGTAATTTTTATTCATTTTATCAAAGTTAAGCAGGATTCTTAGGTAATTAAAAATACAAAGGATTACATTGTAAAAGCCATGATTACACAAGACATATTTTGACCACAAGCTATATCAATGTTTACTGTTGGATTTACACTGTAAACCTGCAAAAACTTTGACCATAAAATTGTACTGTTACTGGAAAAACATTACTTTAAGTTACAGTAGTGGGTATTGAAAAGTGAATGAGTCTGAAAATTTAGGGCGCAAAAAAGCGCACTTAAGTTTTTGAGCGCACAAGTGGGTGCAGTTGGCATAGCGGTTGCGTTTTGGTCTCTCAACCTTGAAGTCGGGGGTTCAAACCTTCGCTGTGCATTTGCATTCTTTGACAAGGATTATTAACTACGTTTGTCTCTCTCCACCCAAGAGTATAAATGGGTACCTGGTTGAGAGTACAAAAGGTTAAAAAGGTGGCATGGAAAGGGACTGGCCACCCTACCACACAATGCTAAAGCTTAGTACGATGGGCTGACAGCTCATTCCGCTATGTTCAGTAAATACCTTTACCTTATCATTCACCATACAGCATTATTAGACTTTTCTGCTTGGGAAACAGCCTGGTTATTCTAACTGGGCACAATTCCCTCTTATCGCACAGCATTGAAATTTGGACCAATCAGGCCACATATTACTACAACACATCCTACCAGGTGCGCATTTATATTGGTAGAAAGATAAAGAAAATCAAAATTTCATTTAGGAATTAGGAAAATGAACTTCATGTATTACATGATGAGCAATAAATTTGAATCTGAATGTCAGCAGTGAATAAATCACAGCCTCTGCACCAACCTGCATCTATTTACTACATGGGTGGGCATAAAAATCGATCAGAAGGCCAAAGTGAATTTTTGATTTAACACCGAGGGCCGCACCCAAACTTTGATGTTTCCAGTGAGCTTCCAAATACCTCCAAGCACTGCTTTCACACCACTTTATTTTCAGTTTTAATGTTATTTTTTACATATGATCGGTGTCAGGCCGTAAAAAACAAGGTAATTTCTAGTCAATGTTGCTTGGGAGGGCCGCACAAATAGTGTATTTAATTCATTATCACGGGCCACATAAAAATAACTGTCGGGCCGCACTTTGCCCACCTGTGGTTTACTATATGAGCAATAGGAATAAATTAATTACTATTTTGTTTACTACAATCCATTCATTTTAACACACACCTCCTTATTTTGAATTATTTTTAATTGATATTACTTTTTACAAATTAGATTAAGAATACAGTTATTAGTATATTCAAATATCTATTGTTAATGTTAGCTTATTCTGAAGTCAAATAATTTATTTTGTATAAAATTCCATTTCAAAATCAGCCACTTGCATTACGGTACAATTATAGTCTATCCTTGAAGACCTTTTATTCTTTTCTACTCTAGATAAAGTGAAATCAAATCAAACATGATACTGCCTAAGTTACAAATTATTTTTTATATTTAATTTGGCACTTGGAGCAACATCAAATTTGATAACAATTGAAAAAGACAAATACTTGCAACAGAGCCAGATTCTTCTTAGAATAACTAGATTTACTAGAATTAGATTCACAAGAAACAATGAAAGAATAAATGTTGTAAATATGATTTGAAACCATATGGCCTCAATAAAACAGGGTAATTATACATCTGCCAGTGGTCATTAAACTTGCTTTAGAGTAGAGTATAAAATATGGGGTTTTTTTCAAGACAATAAATAAAGATAATTTTGTATTTATGTTGTGCCATATATTCAATAAAATTAATATTGCAGTAGGTGAATAAAATGATACATTTTGAAGTCACAGTTAAAATATTTTAAGTTGTATTACTATATTTTTGTATCCTCCTGAATTTGGCACCAAAACCACTGAAATGCATACATTATTTACTACAGTAAATATGGTATAGCTGCTGTTGAATATTTATCAATGTAGTTACTGTAATTTTCAGGCTTAAAACATGATACACGAATACACAAATTCATAGCTTACGCAACAGGATTTATTGTATAATTAATAATGTTTTCCTAATTAAATAATTCTTTTTAATGAACAAAGGCTTACACACTGTCAAATAGTATCACATTACAGTGAATATATTTAATATTTATCAAAATCCAAATAGAAACAACAGGGATCAAAGGAATGCCTAAAAATAACATGCTAATATTGAAAATAACATGTGGTTATGAACAATTTTTTAGCACCACATGCATACTCACCCACCCACGCACCCATACGCCAAAACAATAAAAGTAGGCCTTTGACACTAGTCACGTTGCTTACGTCCTTGAACAAGAAACTTTTTCAACATTTTGCATTGGGTGAGCGGTGATATAACCGCCGCCACATATCCATTAGTAAAACATACATTTTCAACATTGGCGGGATAAAATCAACAGGCAATTATTCTGAAGCATTTAAGATGCACGTCGGAAACGAAAATGACAACAAATACAAAGTAATCCAGTAGACTTAAGAAGGTGTTCCGAGACGGGAGATACGGTCTAAAGACCATCCTGACATTGCAGAGCAATTAAAATATCCTGTTAATATGCAGTGTTAAACAACCCCATTTCTTCGAGAGAACCGGTAGGTTCAAAGGTTGATTAACTGCCAGACAGGATGCAGACTTGATTACTGTTTACCTGATGTAAAATTTTATTGATTAGATGCTCTTTAAAAATTGATTACTTCTGAAGCTTCATCAGTAAAAAAAAATGTATATGTAATAGTGACACGTCATAAAAGTTGACTTTTAACCAACAAAATTGGGATGTAGGGATGAAAGTTCATTATTCGTTATTATTAGCAAACAATAGGTAGTGAAAATGTCCACTCATACATTATAAGTGAATAAGGAGTCATTACCCCTATTCAATACAGCATCTACATGTGTCCACAGCAGTGCTAGCAAAGAAGGCGGTGGAGAAGGCACATTTATAAAAGCATGGGCTGTGTACACATAATAGTGTTAGGAAGGACTAACTATAAAAAACAAAACAATTTAAAAATTTATAGACAGGAGCTAGCCCACAGGATTTAATAATTGTTCACTATAGTGACGTAGGTACAGTATGACATAGTAATTTACCTTTAGCCACATTGAAACATTAAACTATCTTAAGAAGTAATCTTACCTAGCTAGAGGGGAAAAATAATGAAAAACAAAATCAAACATCATTGCTCTGTTTCAAACAAGTTAAGATATGGTTAGTTATTTTTCGCCCAAAAGGAATACCATTAAAAGGCAACTTAAATTAAGGTCGACGAGTATTTATTAGGTTGTGAGGGACATCAATCAATTTACTCATGTTTACTTAGCAAATCGTTTCTGCATTATGACTATTGCCATAAATCGATAAATCCAGACTGATATTGTTACCATTTTAAAGTGGACAGATAACTGATAAATTCATTTCAAAATTTCAATCTACCAACTACCCTACCAGTAACTATTGCTACCAGCTACAAATAAATAACTACATTGATTAACTTTGAAATAAACAGCCATTTAAAAAAAAATGATAGAACACAAAGCAAACTCACCAAATTTTAAAGTCCTGTTTCACTCCCTTGGCATTTTGTATTGTACATATACCATTCAGGATTAAGTTTCACAAAGCAATGGTTTGATTTACACAGTATCAGCTTCAGTCCCTTGTTAATAAATATCGGTCTCCGTTCAACAAGTTGACAACAAAATCAGTTTCATGAAAAATGTCTCCCCTCTCCTGGCAACTGCTCTTTAAGCAAATTTTATCTGTAATATTCAACAATAAAATGAACTGGTGAAGATACTACAGTAAGAAAGCAGTTAACATTACATACCACTCAAAGCGTTACAGTACAGTATACACACAACAACAGCCACACTTTAATACTTTGGTTTTGTGTATAATGGAGTGCATGTCAGAAGCATGTCCCAAGGTCATGATTTACTGCTCAGCCTGCTGGAAATTAACCAAAGTAAAAGGTCAACTCACTGGAGTGAGTACTGGTATAGAGTATCTGTTTATCACTGTGATTTATACATAAAAAAGATAATACTATATTTAGAATATATATAAATTATTACGACTGATAAAAAAGATAATTCTGCTTAAGCTTCCTCATCGTTTAATTGAGTTCCATATTTCTTTAAAAATAAAAAAAATCATCCACACATTCGTAAATGGAAAAGGATATCAGAGTGCTAATTTGCGCAAGATCTACATATGACTATGTATTAATTCGTGGATTGTATTTTCTGTAAAGGGCAAACAGGAACAAAGGCTACCTCATCTTTTTTAACATTTTCATTCAAAAATTGTTGTAATCTTTCTTCCCATACAGTATTTAAAAAGCCAAAATGATCAACATGGTTATTTTTGGCATATGAATAGCATGTTTTGAGGGGTGGTGTACGGGTCTCAAAGACCTTTGTGGAATAACATCCCTACCCTACAATGCAAAGTTTGTTACAGTTTGGATAAGTTGGATATACAGTAGTACCTTAGCGGTTATGACCTTTAGTCCAATGATGCACATAGTTCGTTTAGGGTAGTGGTATGCAGTTTATTAGGAACTTACTGGAGGGAGCAAGCATTTGTTTACTACGGTAGGTGATGCAGGCTGTTTGGACTTTAGTGAATCAACATCCCTAAACAATATACATACTGCAGTTTTGTTTATAGTTTGAGTGATTTTAGGGAGTGACATCCCTACCGTGGTACGATTCATGGTAAATTTTCTTTTTATGTTTTGAAATGCATACTGTATTCAGAAATGTTTCAGTAGATACTGGCCAAAGATGGCCTTTATAGAAATTTTTTTTAAATTGAAAAACCAGCTAAAATTAAAGTTTCTACATCCATATCAATATAATCTTTCATTAAAATACAGATCAATTTTATCATTATATAAATGCACATATAATATCTGCTTCATTGGATAAATAAAAAGAAAAACAGAATAATCAATGTATTAAATATACTTAGTGGAAAAATATAACATCCAATAGCCCCACCAATGTGAAACAATTAATTTTTTTTTTTGGGGGGGGTGAAACAATTAATTTTTTTGGGGGGGGGGGGGGGGGGAAGAAGGGACTGGAGAAAGTTGAAAATGTTGGGCTGTTTCCTTACCCATTACAGGGGTCCCAGGTTACTTCCCAGGAGATGTTTAGATGTAATTGTATTGCTACATATAGTGATACCAATCGGCACTGACTTCTGTGAGACAACTGATAATAAAGCAGTGAAAACATTCAAATATTATGTTATTATTAATTTGCAGAAGATGGGTAATTTTTCCAGGAGATCTTGCTTGCTTGCTGGAGTCCGTCCTGATTCTCTGGAGACTCCCACAATTTGTGGGAGATTTGGAACCCCTACTATTGTGGGGTCCACAGCACCCTGAATATTTCAGTGTTTTAGCCATTTAATTATTTATGAAAATGATTTCACAATTGGTTAGCTGGATCCACCACTGAGGAATATGTAAGGCAACTCCCAAGTTGTTATACCATAAAACCTCAAATTGAAGCCCAGTCGGCCTAATCTCGAGATGAAGCCCCCTCTTTGGTTTGCAAAATTAGCCTCAAAAAGAAGCCCATGGGCTTCTTTTCAAGATAGCATAGGCTTCTTTTTGAGATAGTACAGTACATACACTGTAGATGAATTTCACAAAATATAAATTTAAACAAGCTTGGTTTATACAGTTGTTTATGTAATTTAATGCCATTTAAGTACACGCCACGATACAGATTGATTATAGTGGCCTTATTTATTGTTTTTAAAGTACAAGTTCACAAAATTTACAGCATTAATTTTGAAAAGCCCCCCCCCCAACTTCATTCCAGGGCTTCAATTCGAGGTTTTACAGTATCTACTTAAACATGGATAAGGTAGAGTGTACTTTACCAAATAAAAAAATATACCCATGTTGATGTACTCATTCTGGTGATTATCTCTTAAAGTTTGTACTGAAAAAAATTATTGTACTTGCCAACAATGAATTATGGTGATTATTTTTTACAACTATTCATCCAATTTTTCTGTAGGATGTAACAGAGTAACGAGTAATTATGTACTTATGAAGTATATTCATAGTAATACCATGAACAAATTTATTTTGCCATGTTTATTTTAACAGCATCTCATATTCTTTGCTGAAATTACTTTTTGATCATTTGAAATTGCTTTAGGTTTATTATTAGAATAGTTCAGTGAACCATCATTTCAAACATGATGCAACTGTTTATTTCACTGTTCCAAAATTTAGATAATGAAATGCACCATAATAATGTTGCTTGTGTGTGTCAATGCACTGTTTCACTGCGCCTTCTAAATGCACTGTTTCACTATGCCATATAAATGTAAGTGGTAGATCCAGTAATTCCAAATAGATGACCGGAAATGGCACTCAAACTTTTATTGTAATTTTCTTTTTCCGCTCTATTTTAACAAAAATGTTCATGAATTTAGGGGCTGCGCTATCTAAATGCACTGTTTCACTGCGCCATCTAAATGTATTAATTAATTGGTGGATAGCAATTCCAAAGAGAGGAGGCTCAGTGAGGGACTTTTGCAGATAGATGCTCCATACCACCTCAGCCTAACCATGGTTGGGGCTGAGGTACAAAATTTTGTGGATATGGCACCTATAGATGGCCGGAAATGGCACTCAAACTTAAATTTTATTTAAATTTTTCTTTTTTCTCTCCATTTTATTTTTTTAATTTCCAAGGATTTAGGTGGCAGCTACATGTAGGCCCCCTTAAATCCGCCACTGAAATTGTTACGTTGCACCACCTCAAAACACTGTTTCACTGCACCACCTAAATGCACTGCACCACCTCAATATGCCATCTCAATGCACTGGTTAATTGCACCATTGAAATGTACAAATTGTTACATTGTACCATCTAAATGTACTGCGCCATAAATTGTGCCATTTAAACGTAGAAATTGTTACATTGTACCATCTCTATACATTATAACATTTCCATGTGCTGTATTGTTATTGCAATGTGCTTTCTCGATGTGCTCTTATATTTTGCTTATATTTCACTGTGCCATCTCGATGCACTGTTTCAATGTGTCATTTCAATACACTCTTCTAGCACCATCTAAATATAGTTTATATGTTGCCATGTCAATGTACTACACCATTTCAATGCATTGTTTCATGGTCTCATTTCAATACTCTTTCATTGTACCATGCCAATGCACCTGTCTCTTATACACATCTAGATGTGTATAAGAGACAGACATATGACTATGTATTAATTCGTGGATTGTATTTTCTGTAAAGGGCAAACAGGAACAAAGGCTACCTCATCTTTTTTAACATTTTCATTCAAAAATTGTTGTAATCTTTCTTCCCGTACAGTATTTAAAAAGCTACTTTTATTTAACAATTTTACATTTGTTTACACATTGCAGTTGGCCTAAAATATAAATTTATAAATATTAATATTATTTACTTAGCATTGTGCTAGTAGAGCTCTCTTGGCAGCAGTCAACAAGGCTTGGTTCATGCTTGGCATATGAGAAGCTACCTAGTAGAGCTCTCTTGGCAGCAGTCAACAAGGCTTGGTTCATGCTTGGCATATGAGAAGCTACGGCTGATTTACTACATCTCTTCAAAGAACAAAGTCATAGAATTCTAGCAAAGTACAGTAACTGTAACTTGCTGAGAAATTAAAAACATATATATTTTAATTTAGTAAATCATACTACATGTATTAAGTCAGCATTTATGTCTAGCCTATAATAACTGGTACATAATGCCATGAAAAAACGTTAAATCCTGCCTTGCTAGGCTCCATCTATATGTGCGTAACTAGGCCCAAGGCCACAGAGTCAGGACCACCATACACACAGGCACCCATCCAACACACACACTCCTGCAGTGCAGATAGAGTTTCATTGCTCTATGACATCATGGAAATTACATTTTTCGTGGAATTTTCATATTTTAAAAAATCGGGAGAAAATTAATAAAAATCTGGAGGGCGGAAACCAGCCTAAAAAAAACGGGAGAAACCCGTGATTTTCGGGAGACTCGGGATCTCTGAACTCTGTTTTCTTTGTATCAACTATCTTTTTGTATAAGCACACAGAAAGAAAAGTAGTAGTGTAGATATGCACATGTCCTCATTCCCAGGATGATGGGTTCTTCAAACAGAAAATTGCTGTAATTAATAAAAAGCAACTCCACTTAATATAACACATGTTAGGAATATTGTATGTGAAGGCAGTTAAAAATAATGCAGTTAATATTGTACACAAAATACACATCGTCTATTAATTTGTTTAAGTTAAATCGATCAAGCTTGCTGTTTATGACACCGCAAGAACTAGCACTAAACCTTTCAGGAATTCTTTCACGCCAAACTGCAGTCATCTCTATTGCTCCCTAGTGAATCAGAAATAGTGATGTTTTCATCTATCTTGAATTTCAAACACATTTTAAATTTATAGACTTTTTTTAACTTGAGTTTGAATGCAAATTTTTGAATAGACATCTTAAGAATTTTTACCTTTCATTTTTTATACACAAAAGTATACTGTACTGATCAATATTATTTTACATAATTTAATAAATTGTGTATTGCTGTATTCATGTATTGTATACAGTTCATGTAAATATAAAATACTTTGATGCTCTCGCTGTGTAAAATATTGAAACATAATGTAAATATTAAGGTTTTTGCATAGTGTTTTATTGCAAAAATGACAATACAATTATTATTATATTAGAATGCCTATGCAGCAA